TGGGTGCAAACTGGAGCACAGGAGGTTCCATGTGAGTATCAGGAAGAACTTCTTTGCTGTGAGAGTGACAGAGCCCTGGGACAGGCTGCCCAGAGAGGCTGTGGAGTCTCCTTCATGGAGACATTCAAACCCCCCTGGGTCCTGTGTGATGTGCTCTGGGAGGGGGGCTGGACTGGGTGATCTTTCCAGGTCCCTTCCAACCACTAGGATTCTGTGATGCTGTGAGATGCCCTCCCAGTCCTTCCCAACTGCCTCTCCTTCCTCCAGGCTGGTCCCATTCCCTTCCCTCCTGGGGTCAAAAGGGACACCTCTGGAGATCATCTAGTCTGAGCCTCCTGCTAAAGCAGGGTCACCTAGAGCAGGTGGAACAGGGCTGTGTCCAGGTGGGAGTTTTGAATGGCTCCAGAGAAGGAGACTCCAAGAAGGACAAGAGGAAAATGGGCTCAAGTTGTGCCAAGGGAGGTGTAGATTGGATGTTGGGAAGAATTTCTTCACTGAAAGGGTGGTCAGGCACTGGAACAGGCTGCCCAGGGTGGTGGTGGAGTCACCATCCTTGGAGGGATTTCAGAGGCACATATATATATATGCAGTACTTAGGGTTATGGTTTAGTTAAGGACTCCTCAGTGCTTGGTTAATGGTTGGACTCGAAGATCTTGAAGGTTTTTACAAACACAGGTAATTCTGTGACTATGTCTCTGGGCAGCCTGTCCCAGGGCTCTGTCACCCTCTAAGTCAAGAAGTCTTTCCTCAAGTTCAGATGGAATTTCCTGTGTTCCAGCTTGTCCTCTCACTGGACACCACTGAGAAGAGCCTGGCCCCTTCTTCCTGATATCCCCTGTAGATATTTCTAAGCATTAATAAGGTCCCCTCTCAGTTTTCTCCAGGGTAAAAAGAACTAGGTCTCTCAGCCATCTTGAAGCTGGAGCTTCTGCTCCAGCATTTGTCCAGCCTGGTGGAGCAGGGGGGCTCACCCATCCTCAGGACTCTGGCTGGGGGTGGCTCAACATGTCATGCCCCTGTGGAGTCACCCCATGCTGGCTCAGGAGAAGGGGCTGGTGATGGCTGGGGAGAAGGGATGGAGTTTGCATCCATACCATGGCCAGTGGGGCTCCCTCCAGGAAGCCTGACCAGGCAGCAGATGTCTTGTTGTCCCTCATGTGATGCATGGGGGCAGTGGGGCCAGGGGGGAGACAGAGGTGAGAGGCTGGGACCCCAAGGTGGGCTGGAAGGAGATGACCCCGGTTTCTGGGGGGGATGCTGGGGTTTGTCAGCTACAGGATGGCCCTTGTAGGTGTGAGATAAAGGCACCAGCTGCTCCCAGTGGGGCCAAGGAGCACATGGAGCTGGAAGGAGAGGGAGAGGCTGGACATGGGCAGGGATGGTGATGCTGAACGACCTCGACAGGTAGGACGAGATCTCCCGGGCACCAGGGAGCAGGGAAAGGGCTTGTCGGGCTCCCCAGGACTCCCAGTCAGCCCAGTTTGGATCTACTGGGCCGTTTTGCCCGGTGCCACTAGATGTCAGGCTGGGCTCACGTCGCGGCCGCTGCGCTGGCATCCCCGGTGTCCGCGGCGCTGGGTACTCTCCTCCCCGGCCCCCCTGGGGACCCCAGACCCGTTTGCATATCCAGCCGAGGGGCCTAGGGCTCAGGAGGCCGGCTGAGGCAGGAGCGCGCCCTTTTTTTTTTGAAGCCTGTTGCTTCCTCCCTTGCCTCTCTGCTCCGTCATCTCCCCAGCACAGATGCAGATTGTGCAGCATCAGGGTTGGGTCTCAGTTTGTCCCCCCAAAATGGTCCCTCCAGGACCAGCCAGCACCCACCTCCAGCTCTTTTCATCCCCCCCCGGTTCCTGGCAAAGCCCCCCCAGGTGCCTCCAAGCTGGAGCATCATGGCCTGCCTGCCTTTTTTTGTTTGTTTGTTTGCAGGGATCCTGTTGCAGTCCCCGTTGTGGAAGGAAAATCTCCTGCAGGTCTGTGTGCTTTGCCCAGTCCATCTCCTACCAGCTCCCACCCTGATTTTGGGAACTGTCTGCCTGGGCATCTTGCTTCCCCATCCTGTGTCCCCTTCAGTGGGGTCTGTCCCACCCTTCAGTGGGGTCTGTCCCACCCTTCAGTGGGATCTGTCCCACCCTTCAGTGGGGTCTGTCCCACCCTTCAGTGGGGTCTGTCCCATCCCTTCAGTGGGATCTGTCCCACCCTTCAGTGGGGTCTCTCCCATCCTGCAGCAGGTCCCAGACCTGCAGCAGGGCAGATTTTGGGGTGGTCCCAGCCCTCTGGCTACTGACACCCACCCACCCTGGAGCACTGGAGGAGCAGGAACTGGCTCTGCTTTGCCCTTCTGCTCACATCTCCTCCCTGTGTCCTTCCCTTCCATCTCTCCTCATTGCAAAAACACAATTATCCCAACTCTTCTCCTCCCCCTTTCTTGCCCTCTGGTGAATTTTACACGGTGCCCCCAAACATTGGCAACTGAATACCAATAAAACATGCTGGCTGGGTGGGCAGGGGCTTTATTAGCTTTTATTTTACTATTATTCTAGGTGTCTTTTCCAGTCGGGGGGGCTCCCTCCTCATGGCACAGGGTGCAGGTGGATTTCTGGGAGCCAGCAGGGAGAGCAGGCAACCCAAACCTGCTGGGTGTGTTGGGTTTTTTTTTTTGTGGCTTGACAGCTGATCTCCATTTATTTTGCAGTATCAGGGGGTCTGCTCTGGTAATTGGCATGCAGATTGTGTCTGATGGGCCTCCTAGAGACTCTGCTGGTTAGAATAAGCCAACCCCAGGCTGATGGATGGTGCATAAGGAGGTCATTCCAAGAGAGAATATCCAGATGCACACCTAGGAAATTTCCCATTTTTATGCCCTCCCCCCTCTAATTTCTTTTTCCTGCAAACTATCCTATTGCATTGAGACAAATCCTGCTTCATTTCTTTCTCTCTTCCCTTTTTTTTTTTTTCCTTTTAAGGGAAATGTGATGGAACCTGCTCCTGGATTTAATAAGGAGATGGAGCAGGAATTAAAACAGTGCATGTTTCATTAGCAGCTGGGGATGACACCAAGCTGGCCCAGATGTTAATTACACTTTGGGAATTAATTGGTACAAGGCATCCCTCCCCTCCATCAGCTGTAATCCAGAGGGTGTGCAAAGACCTCAGGAAGCAGAGACTGGGTGTCTGTCACCCCTCCTCATCCTGGCCAACCCTGGCTCTGATGGAGTGGCAGAGGCTGCCTCTGAAACCTTGAAACCACCTTTCATTTCCACCCCCTGCTGCTATTTGCACCCTCTCTTCTTCCCCATGACCCTTCTCCAAACTTTTCCTCCAGCTGCTGGGGAGAAGCAGGGACTGGGGAGTGCTGGGAGGAGGACCAAGCATCCCCCTGGAAGATGTTCTCCCCAGGGGACCCCAGGACACCCTCTGTGAGGGCTGGTGGGATGGCAGCTTCTTTTTTTTCCTGCTCCCCAACCCATCCTTCCTGGTTCATCCCTTCCTGACCTGCCATCCCCTGCCCACCCAGGAGAGCCCCCCCCAGCACTTCTCTGCTGCTCAGATCCCCCCCCCACCCAGTTCTTGAAAGAAACTGACCTCCAGTTTCTTCCCACCCCTTTTCCACCTTGAATTCAACCTGATGGAAAGAAAAAGCTGCTAAAAAGCTGCATGGGGTGTGTGTGTGTGTGTGTGTGTGTTTTGCCAGAGGACAGAAATAATATGCTTGGAAATGAAGTCTGTTCCTCTGAATGCTGCCAATTTGTTCCTTTTCTCAGCTGGCTGGTGGCAGCCCAGCATGGGGCATAGTTGTCTCTGCCATGGAGCAGCAGCTCTTCACTGCTCTGCCTGGCTTGGCAGAGATTGCTGCACAGCCCCAGTGGGACATTTGTGCTCAGCTTTGCCCACCCCCCAGACCCCAAAAGTTGCTCCCAGTCCCTGATGGTCTGAGCTGGTGGGCACTGCAGCTTTTGTGCTGCCCACAGGAGTCCTCAGGGTGTTGTGGGTCTTCTCTTGGCCTTGTGGATGCACTTCAAGCTTGAAGCACCAGCACAAGTGTGAGGAGCTGAGGGAGCTGGGGGTGTCCAGCCTGGAGACCAGGAGGTGAGGGGAGACCTGCTGGCTCTGCAGCTGCCTGAGAGGAGGTTGGAGCCAGGGGGGTCGGGCTCTGCTCCCCAGGAACAAGAGGAAATGGCCTCAGGTTGTGCCAGGGGAGGTTGAGGTGGGGTATGAGGAGAAACTTCTTCCCCAAAGGGCTGTCAGGGCCTGGCCCAGGCTGCCCAGGGCAGGGCTGGAGTCCCCATCCCTGGAGGGGTTTCCAAGCCCTGTAGATGTGGTGCTG